ATTGTCTTCAAACCTTGATATCTAACGGGATCTTAGCCTCCGCAGTAGAGTTATAGGCATGAGCCACCAACACCAAGCACAAACCCTCTTTCTGCTGCCTCCCTAGAGGAAAAAAAAAACATTGTGTGAGTGAATGTGTGTCTGTGTCTGTGTCTGTGTGTATCTATAAAGGAAGTGTCACACAATCCACAGTTTTGAAAGGTGACTTTTCAAATTGCAGGAAGGTTCACAGGGCAGAACAAGCCAGAGAAACACAAAAATGGCAAGTCAGGTATCTCAACTTCTGCTCATGAAAATCAGGCAACAGAACAGTTAATGAATAATCCAGAGGAGAGTTTCCAAAATGTTCTACAAACACTATTGGTAAACATGCTGAATCAAAGATTGAAAGCCTGCAAAGGACTCTGTGTGAGTGTGATAGGGAAATGTATGAGCTTGATGAGGCTAACCAAAGATTAATACAGGAATTTCCTGAGAATGAGGAGGTTAATCAATAGAGGAATTATGTGAGCGGGATGAGAATAAACAAAGATTAATAGAGGCATTCATTGAATCCACAAATAGAAAGCTGGAGGAATCCATGGAGGCCACACAAGGAATGCTGAATGGAGCCTGACAGAAGGAAAGGAAGTCCAGTGAAACTATAACCAATCCACTAAAGGATTTAAGAATGAACACTGAAAACTAAATTAAAGAGCTAAACAAGTACATACAAGATCTAAAACAAAGCTCCAACGAAGAATTTGAAGCCATCAAACCTGATCAATCACAAGGAAAGGAAATAAAAAACAAAGTACAAAGTTTTGACAGTAGGTGAGGCCATGCAGAAGATCGAATCTCTGGGACTGAAGACAGCCTAGACACACTATAGAGAAAGAACAGACAAGTATTCAAGACAAATCCAAGAAATATTATAATCTATTCAACATGTAGAGACACCATCAGAAGGCCTAATTTTAAGCCTAATGGGTGTAAAGGAGGCCCTCAAGACAAGTTAAAGGTCTAGGAAGTTTATTTAATAGAATCCTAGCAGAGAACTTCCCAAACATGAAAAAAGATAGGCCCATTCAGATACATGAACCATTTAGCACCCCAAACAGACCAGACCAGAGGAGGAAATCCTACCTTCACATTGTAATCTGCACAGGATCAATAGAGATCAATGAAAGGATCCTTAAAGCTATCAGGGAGAAAAGATCAAGCTCCTATAAAGGGACACTCATCAGAATAACTTCAGATTTCTCAGCAGAGACAATGAAAGCAAGAGCCTGGAAAGATGGATGCCACGCCCTAAAGACAAACTGCCAACCAAGAATACTTGTACCCAGGTAAACTCTCCTTGGTAACAGAAGGACAAATAAAAACCTACCACAGCAAAGAAAAATTGAAACAATATATCTCTGCCAAACCACCCTTACAAAAGATACTTAAAGATGTCCTACATATAGAAAACCAACAAGACCACAATAAAGGCCAAGAAACTGCACCAAAACTGAGAATGCAAGAACCACAGGAGGAAGCCAACTGTCGCAGCCCCCAGGAAGGTGGATAACGTGGCAGTTACTACCGAACACCTCTCAGTCCTAACTTGCCTATTCTGCTCAGCCTTTGAATATCACTCTTCCATCCTCTACTTGAATAAGTTCAACTGTTTCAGGTTCTCCGTATAAGTGATGACAAGTATTGTGTTCATGAAGAACATTGTCATCATTGATGCCTTCATTTTTATAAATATATTTATTATATAAATACAGTAATTATACAAAGTAGCTGCTATTTAGCAAAGTAGTTCATGAATGCAATGCATCTTTATCCATGTCACCCCTTTCCACTGAAGGAAGGAGACTGAGCCTAAATAATTCCTTGCACCCATCCTGGTGCCTATACAGAAGATGGGGAGACTGTCCACCAAGCTCCAAGGCCTAGAGGTAAGACAAGCCATACTTTGAAGTGCAGATTCCTGGCTCAATGGGGGTGAGCTAGGAGTCCTCTACTTCAGAGAAATGTACTTGTCATCTTGTCTTTATGATGCGGGAGGATGACCCCCCCCTTTAGGTGATAGGCATACCTGGATCCCTGGAGGGGGGGGCGGGTGACAGGCACTTGGCTAATAGGTTGCTGAACCTGTCATTCCAGTGCCAGGCACTGGAAGTGTCCTGTGAACCTGCCCCCTTCCTGGACCCTATTTAGGCCTAGAGGAGCCTAGCCACCAGGACTCCATGCCATGTGTATCTCTGTGGCCTTGTCCTGTGTCCTGTCCACTGGCTCTTATCATCATGGCATCCCAGTTCAGCTCTACATAAGAACTGAATTGGTTTATTGGTTTGTTGGTTTGTTTTTCTTCTTTCTTTCCTAACCATGTTGTGTGTATTTATGGCCTGCAGGCCTTTGTTACAATGAGCGGCCTGCAGACTGCTAGTGCTGTAATAAAGATTCCAAAATTCCATCTTCCAAAATGTGGCTTCTCTTATAAGTTAAAACACGACATTGTCATCTATCCCTCCCAACCCATTCCCAGTAAAGATTCTTAGGCATCCAATAGTATGCTTGTGTGTATAATTTCTGTTCTTGAGAATTCCTTTTCTTTGCTGTTGTTAGTGCTGTCCCTAAGCTCTTCAGCTCAAGGCTAGGGCTCTACTACCTGAACCACAGCACCACTTCCAGCTTTTTATGCTTATGTGGTGCTGAGGAATTGAACCCAGGGCCTCATGCATACAAAGCAAGCACTCCACCACTCAGCCACCTTCCCAGCCCAAGAATTCCTTTTATAGAACTCAGAGTTTAGTGTGATGACCTGCTTGCTCATGGGCAAGGAGCTGCTATGTTGGTTATCAGCACAACGCAGTGCAAGCTCACAACCAGCTAGCCCAGAGGGCTTGCTCACTCTACCCATGATCTTTATCTTCCACCCATGCTTAATTTGGAGTATTTTAAATCTTAATGTTTCATGCAGATTAGAGACGTGCAACTTGTATAACTACCTCATTGTGCAGTTGAGGAAATTGAAGATCCGAGAGGTTAGGTCACTCACTGAAGACCACCAGGCTAGTTCTTGACAGGGACAACTACTCACTTAAGTCTCTTAAAATACAAAGGTCTCCAATCTATTCATCAGTTTCCTTTCTCATTTTAATTGGCATTTACCATGTTTTACTTATTTGTGACTCTCTTACCTTTCAATTCTCAGCATCAGCTAAATATCCTCCATAGTTATTTTTGTGAACACAGCACTATTACTTGGAAAATGAAAACATTCCTTTCAATGCACAATTGTTTCCCCAGCTCTGACTTTAAATCCCTAATGTTTGAATTTATTTCCTACCAACATTCTGTGTAAAGAAGAAAATGGAGCACTGGGATTTTGTTTTAACCCAGCTATTTCACACAGCCCCATTTACAATTTTCAATGTAGCCAATGGGCAACTGAAAAGAGGCAATACTTGCCTACAAAAATTATTCACAAACCTTTTTCTTAAATGCCTAATGGTCCAGGGAAAGAGATCTTGCCCTTCTTGAGAGGTAGCTGTTCAAATTCTGCTCCTTAATCTATGGATATTTCCATTTCTTTCTCTTTGTTGATGGTATGGAAAGCTATTCACTTTGCTTTTGGGGACAAAGCTACCAAAGAAACACACACAGGTCAACACATCAGTATGCCCAATGGACATGTGTCAATCTAGAGAGACTGTACGGTGAATTTAGAGAAAATCTAATTCTAATTCCAGGTTTCTGATCCTGCAGAAGGCAAAAACCCAGAGGACTAGATTTTAGCAAACAGGACAATCACTGATACCTCTTCCTCTTAAGTATCAGACACTGAAGCTTGCAGATTGCACCTTACATCGTTATTTGATGAAAATGCTCTAAATATTTGCATGCTATCATCACATAGCCTACTGAAGGCATGCCTATTCCTAAATCATACCCTGACCTCTGTACTTCTCACATGTCTCAAGTTTTTCTGGTATTTCCATTTGGGAAATAGCACTTTCCTTAAAAACATGTCAGTGATGTTTGTCTCCTATTGTGGGGTGGGAGATGAGGGTGGGGCACAAGGAGACACCAAGCAAACAGGTTATTTGAGAAGCTGTTGAACCCTGAATTGAGTGCAGTAATACCTAGGGTGTTTAATTATGTCTGCTGCGAGTTTTGATTGTGTTTCCCCTTTTAATAGCAATCCCCAGCTAGAGAAAGAGAAATATGCCACACACACCAAGCTGTTTATCTGCCATTCTGACACCAGATCGATGGAGCATCTCAAAAAAATGTTAAGTCCTCTCAGAAAGTGCCCTTCTTGGTTGACCAAAGCAGAATTCTGGCCCCAGGACCCAATTGCTGTTCTGGGAGATAGTCTCCCAATCCCTCACCATTTTTCTCATCTGCTCTAATCTAGGGACTTTAACACTCATAACCTAATACCTCCTCCCTCTCTCTCCAGAGCTCTTTCTTCCACTGTGTCTCTACCTCAGTCTCTTGGGCCCTCTGTCTATCTGTCCCACCCCTGTCTCTATGTCTGTTTCTCCCTCCATTTCTCTGAGGTTCCCATGGTCTTTTGGGGCTCTCTCTGAGATTCGTTCCCACCTGCTTTTCTCTCTTTCTCAGACTCTTTCAGGTGGTCTCACACATGTTCTTAATTGATCACCAAAAAAGCCAATAGGGCTGTGGCTTAAATGGTAAAGAGTGCTGGCCTTGAGCTAAAAAGTTCAAGGACAGCACCCAAGGCCGGAGTTGAATCCATGGGATAGGCATGAGGTGGGGGAGGAAGGAGAACGAGGGGAGGGAGAGAAGAAGGGAGGGAAGAAGAGAGGGAAGAAGAAAGGAAGGAAGAAAAGGAGAAAGAAAATGAAAGAAAGGAAGGAAGAGAAAGAGAGAAATGTCTATGAATGAGCATGGCACACACAAACCAAGGCAATTCATAAATCAATCCAGAGGAAAAGTTTATATTCCCAATATCTCAAATACATAGATTTTAGGTATATTCCAAAGATTGGGATAAATCATCACAAACATACTAGTGTCCCAGCCGGTAATGCAGGTAGAGACATGAAGGGCATTGTGGTGATTTCTAATCTCCTCCTCCTCCTTTTCCTCTCCTTTAAAACTTTCTTGTCAAACTCTGCCTTCTCTCTGTAGTGTAATGGTGGACCTCGCAGGTACTTTTCTTCTGCCTTCTGATAACTGAGCTCATCCACTGTGGCAATTGAATAAATCATTGCTTCGGGCAGAAGCACTTCCATTATGAAACTTTCTTTGTCACCTCTTAAGAGATGGAACATGATCTTATCTGTTTCATCATATAATTTCTGTAAATGTTTGGCAACTTCATACAACTGGTCATCATCTTCCAGATATGTTTCTATGCAAACCAAGGACTTGCGTGGTTTCAAAAAGGATGTCAGCCATCTGGACTCTTTTCTGCCAGTTATGATGTCCTGAAGATGTTTGTCAGCCCCCTTTTTCTTCACAATGAAGTCTACTAGCTTCCGGTTGCTTTTGTCCCGAGCAGCCTTCATGCGGTCAGGGAGAAGTTTCTTGCGAGGCCTCTTCTTGCCCAGGACAGTCTCTTCATCAGAATCTTCCAGGTCAGAATAATTTACCTTTGGAAAATCAGTGTGGTCAGTTTCTTCCAGGGCCTTACGAGCTAAGTAGCTGGCATTGCTGGTAAAATAATCAAAAAAAGAGCCCGTGAAAGATTTCTTAGTTACTGCTTCTCGGTAATGGTTAATAAAGGAGAAGCACCAAGTCACACCATGGCTATAGTCTTTGCTGGCTCTCCTCACAAGTTTATCTTTCTCATCACAGTCCAAGGGTTTCAGTCTGCAAAGATGAACCGGAATGCCACTTTGTGCAGGGCACATGTTGGCCTCAATCAAGAGTACCCTGGCCATTTGGGTGGTTTGGATGACACGCTTAACCACAGCTGGCCAAAATGGATACCCATGGAGTTTAAACCAGACAAGCATTCCTCTTTTAATGGGTTGAGTCTTCCATTTAGGAGCCATACTTTTGGCTTGGGCTTCTCGTCTTCTACCAGCACTCTTCTTGGTAGCTACAGCCTTAAACTCAGGAGATTTAAATTTCTTTCCTGCTCTCTTCAAAGTTAAATCTTGGCGCTTCCTTTTTTGGTTTACAGTAGAGAGTGAATCAGGTAGTCTGGAGTTCAGGGATTGTGAGGATGCTATTTCCCCTTCCAAGGCTGCATTTGAGGCAATCTCTTCAGGTTCTTCCATGATCTCAGGGAAAGCAGCGATCTTGTGGCGATCAGAAGCTGTGGTCTCTCGGCCAGTGTCCACTGTCTTCTGACTCCTATTTCTGACCTTGCTGAGGATGACAACTGGCTGAATAGATAAAGCTGGAAATTCAGCTTTATCAGGTGGTCCTTCCCAGACCACAGGGTGACAACAGGGTACAGGTATTAAGGCCGTGGACTTTTCTTTGTCTTCATTTTCACTAACAGCTCTCACAGGTGTTGGTCGTTGTATGAACCTACTGGAGCTTTCTACAAGTTCATTCCCTGAAAGCCACCCCTGCTGGGATCGTAAGTATTTTTGTTTCCTAAGCTTTGGCGCATAGTATAGTTTGCGTTTTCTGCGCTTCCTGCGAGGGCCATGCACAAGGCCAAGGCCAATGCTAAGGCCATGGTGTGTACTAGATGCCTTTAAACCTGTTTTTGGAGGCTTTGTGGTTTTCCTTTGCTCAGCTAGTTTTCTGCAATACAAAATGTCAAGGGCAAGTCGAAGTGCTTTTCTATAGAGTCTTAACTGGCCTGATGGGCCAGTGGTCTTCCACTGAACATCTACAGGTGGATCAGTGATCCTCAACCTTACCCCTACTGATGAGGCAATGGCTTCAATCCCAGCTTCAGTGAGATCCATTACATCTGCACTTTCCACTTGCATTTTTTCATCTACAGTGAGAATTTGTACTTTGACTGGTAATTCCCTTCCACTCTTACTTCTGACTGGGGTTCCTGGGACAGGTACAACCTTTGCTGGCCACAAGTATTCTTTCCAGCTGCACAGGATATACTCGGCACTCTCCATTGTGCCTGGAGTCAAGTGGCAGGAGATGACTGAGAGGCTGAGAACCTGTTGCTGCTGAAGCTTCAGGTTTTCATGGAGCCATTTCACAGCTCCTTTCCCTGACCATGAACCAGTGTCCTGGAGACACTGTAACTCATGGTCTCAGCCCAGATTGCACCAGTGTACTGTAATGTGGAGAAGGGAAAGCAGAGTCAAGTTAGAAAAGCCATGCCCCTTGGTGGAAAGGAAAAGGCCTCTTCTCAGAGAGGCTGACAGGAAAGTAGATAAATATGAAAGCATGTCCTACACCAAGGGAGAGACTGATGGCAAGTACTTAGGGGAAATACAGAAGGCAACAACACAACCTTTCATCTCAACTGTGAGTGAGAGCTGTATATGGTGGAGCATCTACAGGATAGGTAGATGTTTTCTCTTAATGCATACTAAATACCTTTGGGGCTCCTTGGCCTTCCCTCATGAGGAATACCTTCTTTCTTTCCTCATTTCCTGGAGTACTACGGCTGTCCTGCCTACCCCACAGGGCCTGGGTCTGTCCTCTGCACACATATAGTGGGCCTCGATGTGATTAGTTTCCCTTCCCCAACCTCATAGCACATTTAAATTTCCTGCTTAGTTTCTTATGTCTTTCATATCTCATAATATTTCTCCTCTGGCTGTGTCATAGTGGGGTGCCTTTCCTGTCTTAGAATGGTGGGGCCTACTCCTATCATGACAGGGTGTCTAGGATATTTGTTTTGTGTTATCAGTCTATGTGCTGCAGTGATGGTAATGGAAACAAACAGAACTTGTCCAATTTCCAAGTAGTGTCACCTGGGCTTCCAGAGAATGTAAGAAGTATAAGAAGAAATCTAAGGAGTGAGCAAATCACAGCTTCTCGCTCTTAATATGAGATGTGAGGGTATGTGTGCTTCTGACACACTATCTTCATCCTGATGCATGCTCATTCCTGGTGCACGTGAATATAGTATGTTGGGTCATGTCTCCTTTTGAATATCCTTTTTCCCACTAAGTGACCCAATCTGATCTACTGGCTTTTCCAACACTACAGAAATATTTCTCTACCCCCCCCCACCTCCAAACACTTGGCAGGATGCACTGTGCTTTTCTTTACTCATTCAGTGTGCAGTATGTACTTTAACTCATTGCTCTACTTTTGCTCAGACTTACTGACATTTTGCCAGTCCTGGGGATGGAACTCAAGGCCTGGGCACTGTCCCTGAGCTTCTTTTTGCTCAAGGCTAGCACTCTACCTTGAACCACAGCTCCACTTCTGGCTTTTTCTGTTTATATGGTACTGAAGAATCGAACCCAGGGCTTCATTCATGCTAGGCAAGCACTGTACCACTAAGCCACATTCTCAGCTCAGACGATATATTCACACAATAAAGTGATTGCTTCGTATGTAAATACATATAGGCATGTCTTTGGCCACAGGTCCTGGTAAAAGGAATATGAAATGTCTAAAGCAGAAGAACTATACCTGCTTAAGGGACAGTCTTCACAAAATCTTTCTCAAGTGAGAATGTGTGGTCAGACAAGTTTTCTGTCTTCCGATTTACCAAATTAGGTATATGGCTGTTACCTGAGTTCACAGACAAAAAACCAGAAGGATTAACAGATGATTCAGCCACATCAGCCTCCCTTTAGCCACTCCCACACAAAACAGGCATGCTTGAGCACCTGGGATTACAATCACAACCCCAAGTGCAGGCATGTACAAACATATACATACAGAGACACACACAACAGATAGGCATATATACACACATATTAGAAAGAGCAGATAGCCAGAGGATGTGCAGTATGCATGCCAACTCCCTCGCCACTTCTGTACTTCAGGATCCATGTTATTTTCAGTGATTTTGAAAACATGGGTGGAAAAGCCTAATATGATATTTAAGATTACAACAAAAGAAATATATTTATCATCTGTAATTGAGTCACAGAGGAACACATTCTGCAAGCACAAGAGTCCACATGCTGCAGAATTTTTATTCTACATATGCATGTGTGCATTTTTTAATGTCACTACTAGGTCTTGAACTCAGGGCCTTGGTACTATCTCAAAGCTTTTTTTTTTTGCTCAAGGCTAGTAATCTACTACTTACAGTACAGCTCCACTTTCAGCTTTTTGATGGTTAAAGATGAGTGTCTCCTGGATTTTCCTTCCCAGGCTAGCTTCAAACATTGATCCCCAGATTTCAGCCTCCTCAGTAGCTAGTACTATAGAAGTGAGCCACTGGTACCTATTTCTTTTTTGTAAAAAATTAATATACATTAGCTGTGATTGGGGGGGTTGTTCATGATGACATTTCCATATGATTACAATATATTCCTATTACTCTACCCCCACTGCTGCCCTCCCCATTTCCTTTATAAAAAATATTCAACAGATTTCATTGTTCTGTTTTCACAAATGCCAACAAACTGCTTTGACCACATCCATTTTAATTCACCTTCTTCCTTAGCTGTACACATTCCAGCTGGTATTCACAGGGGGAATCCAACTGTCACAACCCCCAGGAAGGTGGATAACATGGCAGGAACTACCAAACACCTCTCAGTCCTAACTCTCAACATTAATGGACTTAACTCTACAATTAAGCCACATAGACTGTCTAGTTGGATTAAAAAGCAAGGTCCTTCTGTCTACTGCCTTCAAGAGTCACACCTTGCCCATAAAAACAAACATATTCTGAAAGTAAAAGACTGGAATACAATCTGCCAAGCAAACAGCCCCCATAAACAAGCAGGAGTTGCAATCCTAATATCAGATAACATAGACTTCGAATTAAAATTAGTGAGAAGAGATAAAGAAAGTTGCTACATGCTAATTAAGGGATCTCTCCTTCAGGAGGATATTACAATTCTAAATATTTATAGATTCATCCAAGATATACTACTTTCCTTCAAATCTCACATAGATCAAAAGACATTAATTGTTTGGGACTTTAACACACCACTTTCCCCACTAGATAGATCAACTCAGCAAAAACTGCAGATCTAAACAGCTGCATACTCAACTAGATTTAATGGACATCTACTGAATATTTCACCCAGAAGCATCAGAATACACGTTTTTCTCAGCAGCACACAGAACATTTTCCAAAATAGACCACATTTTAGGTCACAAGACAAGCTTGTCCAAATTCAGAAACATTGAAGTTAAGCCCTGCATTCTCTCAGACCACAAGGGAATAAAATTAGAACTCTACACCGAAAGCCACCAAAGAAAGTGTTGTAACACATGGAGGCTGAACAACACACTGTTGAATCACCAATGGTTCATGGAAGAGATTAGAAAGGAAATTCAAATGTTCATGATATTCAACAAAAATGAATACACAAATTACCAGCTCCTCTGGGACAGAGCAAAGGCAGTACTCAGAGGCAAGTTTATACCTCTTAGTTCCTACATCATCAAATTGGAGAGATCTGAAAACAACAATTTAATGAGACATCTGAACCTCCTTGAAAAAGAGCAGCAACCTAAACCCCAATCCAATAGAAGAAAAGAAATAATAACAATTAAATCAGAATTAGAATACAAAAAACATGGAATCAACAAAACAAAGAGTTGGTTCTTCAAAAAAAAATTAACAAAATTGACAGACCCTTAGCAAATCTTATCAGAAAAAAGAGAACACACCCAAATAAACAATCTCAGAGATGAGAATGGAAAGATCACTACAGAAACAATGAAGATTCCAAACACTGTAAGAGAATCTCAAACCTTTATGCTAATAAGTTTAAGAACCTGGAAGAAATGGACCTTTTCCTAGCACATATCAACATGCGAAACTAAACCAAGATAAGTTAAACCAACTTAACAGGCCCATATCAAGCACTGAAATAGAAAGAACAATAAGAGACCTCCCATCTAAGAAAAGCCCAGGACAGGATGGATTTACAGTCTATAAAGACTTCAAAGCAGAACTCACACAAAAACTCTTCAATGAAATCGAAAGATAAAGTTCACTACCTAACTCTTTCTATGAAGCCATCATAACCCTCATCCCAAAACCAGGCAGGGACTCATCAAAGAAAGAGAATTATAGACCCATTTCTTTGATGAACATCGATGCAAAACTTCTCAACAACATTTTGACCAAACAACCAACAATTCATCCTAAAAAATCAAACACCACGATCAAACAGGATTCTTTTCATGGATGCAAAGCTGGTTCAATATATGCAAATCGATTAATATTATTCATCACATAAACAAGAGCAAGGATAAGAACCACATGGTTATCTCAATAGTTGCAAAAAACACAATTGACAAGATCCAACACCCTTTATGATGAAGGCTCTGGAAAAATTAGTGGAATATTCCTCAATACAATAAAGGCTGTATATGACAAACATACAGCCAGCATTATACTTAATGGTGAAAAACTAAAGCCATTTCCAATAAACGCAGGAACGAGAAAAGGATGTCCACTCTCTTCACTTCTCTTCAATTTAGTATTAGAATTTCTAGCTACAGCAATAAGACAAGATGCAAACATAAAAGGGATCCAAATAGGGAAAGAGGAAGTAAACCTCTCCCTCTTTGCAGATGACATGATCTTGTATTTAAAGAATCCCACGGACTCCACTCCCAAATTACTCAAGCTGATTAAAAACTTTGGCAATGCAGCAGGTTATAAAACTAACGCCCCCAAAATCAATGGCTTTTCTGTATGCCAACAATGAGCAGAGTACAGCTGAAATCAGGAAATCAACTACATTCATAATAGACCCACAAAAAATTAAATACCTAGAAATTAACTTAACCAAAGAAGTGAAGGACCTCTATCTTAAAAACTTTATAAACCTCAAAAAGAAAATCAATGGAATTGAAAGAGAAAGTTCACTACCCAGCACATTCTATGAAGCCATCATAACATTCATCCCAAAACCAGGCAGGGACTCATCAAAGAAAGAGAACTATAGACCCATCTCTTTGATGAACATTGATGCAAAACTTCTCAACAAAATTTTGGC